GCTTTTTTGAGTCCCTCGACTATTACAAGTTACAAAATGATCCTCCGACTATAGGACATTACTTTGTTGAGTCCCCTGACTATTAAAAGTTACAAAATGGTCATCTAACTATTTATATGTTCCTAACTCGTCATTTTCCATTAAAAATTGATAGCCTTTTGAGTTGTACGTTAATCTATTGACTAAAATATGATAAAATTAGATCCCTGAATCATTTAAGGTGTATTTTATGATTCAAATCTTCATTTACATTATGTTATTGATCTATTTCTTGAAACATTATGTCATCGAGTCAGTGCTTAAAAGTAACGACATTGCCAGTAGACATCATTAAAATATAATTTTATCATTCTCAGCCATTAGGTTAACGACCAACTCAAATGAACATCAATTGTTTAACACAAAATAACAAGTTTGGAACATATGAATACTCGAGTGATTATTTTATAACTTTTAATAGTTGAGGGACTCAACAAAGCAATGCCATATAGTTGGAGGATCATTTTGTAGCTTTTAATAGTTAGGGAATCAATAAAGCAACACTTTATAGTCGAGGGACAATTTGTGTACTTTACCCTATATATAATTATTGATATATTCTTATAAAAATATATCTTTTTATTTGCCAATCTTATATTTCTAAACAATTTTAACAAATTTCATGGAGTCATCCCATTAAATTTGTCCCTTTTGGATTTTGAAATTATCTCATTTAAAATGTTATATTAGAAAAAGTCAATAAATAACAATATATCAATTTTCTTTTTTACCATTTATCATATTGTCCCATTAAAATAAATCTATCAACCACTTTTTAAGGATAATTTTATCATATCTCATTTTATACAACTTAACGCATGGTAAAATTAACTTCATAAAACTACATGTTTAGTCAACAATAAATAAAAATAATGGGACAAAGGGAATAATATTTATCTAAATAAGTCGCGTAATCTTTTTTACTATAAAAAATGGTGGATGGATGTAATTGGATGTTAAAGGTAGAGGTAAGCATTCAATCGAGTTGAGTTAAAAAGTTTTGAGTTATTTGAGTTGACGATTCATATTTTTTGACTCGACGTAACTTGAAATTTTTTCAAGTCGAAGCGAGTTTAAGAAATTTGAATCGAGTTATTCGATTCGAATTATTCGAGTTTCTATACAAATTTTATTATAATTATTTATAGTATTATGATAATGATTGATTCTAATTTTTCGATCATCTCTCTTTATATAGATATTTCTTCATATTCTTTTCAATTTATAATATTATTAAATATATCAAATACAATCTTTTTTTATAAAAATATAAAATTAAAAATATTATATTTACAATATTATATTTTAAAAAATATATTTTGAGGTAAAATATTGATGAGAATATAAAAAATCAAGGAATTTATGAGAAAAAAATTGTAAATAATTACAGTCAAAAGGCCAAATTGAGTAAAATGCAAAGTTAAGAGACTAAAAAGGGAGTATATTTTTAGTAAAAATAGGAATTGAAGTTACATAGATATTCTATAGTGGTATAGGAGCATGTGATTCAAATTTGGTAAAAAAATAAATTTAAAATGAAGGATGAATTAAAGAAATAAAGGAATCATAAAAAATTGAGGGGCTAAATTAAAAAGAATGTTATCAAATAGAGGAATTGAAAGCACATAAGTATTTTACGATGATTTACTAGAGCATACGGTTTAAATTTTGGGAGAGACAGAAATCCCTTCTACTTTCTATATACATGTGTCCTTCGTCCTCACTCCATTCCATCTAGTGGTAGAACATCTTGGGACTAAGGGGAGCCTTGGCCTATGCAAATTATTTTTTAAAATATTAATTAATATTAAATATATATTTTTAAATAAAAAAATACCAAGTCCCCTCAATTAAAATTTTATATTTATGAAAAATAAAAATTATTTTTACCTCCGCTATAATAAATTCCTAGTTCTGCTTTTGATTTCATCTCTTGAATTTCGATTCTATAATAGGCATAATGATTAAAAAATACTTTTAACATTTGATTAAATAGTCACCTTGATTAATATTTTTTTTGAAACATTCAGATCTCTGACTTTTTATCTTGGGACAAAAGACTCCCTTCGTGGGTGTAAATAGTAGTCAATAAACGATCTAAAATAGAGAACTTTTTGCGGCAAAATAAAATAACACGAGACCAAAATAATTTTAAAAATAAGAATTAAAGTGACTATTAAACGATTATTATGAATCTTTTACCTTAAAATAAGAATTTAGACAATCGTTATGGGCAGGGTTTATCACTATATCTTTATAATATCATATCTAAAATATATATATTTTTAAATATTTCAAATAGAAATTTAAACAATTTAAAAGTTAATATTAAACTTATTATCAATCGATCTACTAGTAGTAGATGCACTGAGATTTGATTTGAAAGTAAAGAAAAAAAAAAGATTATTGATTCAAGATCAGTGTCTTGGTCTTCATCCAACGGTAAGGAACTTTAGACCAAATTTCCAAAGTCAAATCTCCTTTTTACTCTAATGATGATATACTTGAACCACACTATATCCATACGCTTCTATCTCTCATTCATTTTTCATGATCATGGCTTTGAGAATCGGATCGGTTAGTAAATCGATCATGCTATCGGTTTATTAGTTTAATCGGTTGAACTGATTCGACCGATCGAAAAAATCGAACAACGTCATAATTATTTAAAAAATTAAATAAAAAAACCAAAAATATTTAATAAAAATAATTTTTATATCACAAGTTATATTCAAAGCAAGTCATAACATATATAAGTTAAAAACTATAAAATCAAGTTAAACAATTATTCAAATTAACTACAACATAATATTTAAGGTAAAACATATTAAATAATAAATATAATTATATAACTATAATTAAAAAATAAATTTGAGACTAAAAAAATCATAACAAAATGATATTGTTTGGTTTAATTTTTTTTTAAATAATCTCACATGGCTAAGGCACATAGAAGAGCATCCCAAAAGTCTAAAGAGAAAATATGAGAACAAAACAATCTCACATGGCTAAGAAACATAAAAGAGCATCCCAACTAACTTCTATAAATAATAGACGTAATTTGTCATTCAAAATCATGGAGCCTTTTGGTGAACATTGAGTGAACTATTCTTTCACTACAATCAAGCTCGAATTTTAGGCTTTAATCGAGCTTCTAATTTTTTTTTTGAGTTCAAGCCTTTTCGAGTTTAAGTTTCAATATTATATTTCGAGTTCGAGTTGAACTTGATAATTTTTAGCTCGTGAGTTTGAGTCCAGTTGAGCTTACTTTTAAGGTTTTCAAGTTCGAGTCGAGCTCAGCAATACTTGAATTCGACTTGGCTCGTTTAACAAACGACGTCGTTTGGTTTATTTTTATTTTTAAAAATAAAATAAAATTGACGGTTTTTTCTGGTTTTCAGCCGGTCTGATTCGAACGGTTCAGCTGTTTCGGCCGATTCACTAATAACGATTCAACCGGTGTAGATTGAACCGGACTAGACAGGGGTTCTTGATTAAACCGACCGGTCCAGTCCGATTTTCAAAACACTGGTGATGATAGCTACTTCCATTCATCTAAAAGCCCCCCACTAACTTTACAAATATTTTCCATTTCAAAACAAATTTACTATTCAAATCATGTTTAGTTTGACAAAAACATATAAATTATTTACTTTACCCATTGAACCAAATACCATTGCATAAAAAAACTTTCAATAGTGGAAAAAAAATTGGCTTTTTTTTATACCCATATATCACTATTTAAAAAATTAAATATTAAAACAATATTGATTTTAAGTTAATTGTCTAAATGATACTATTTTTATTGAAATTTAGGGAAAACACAAATAACTGAATACATTTTTTTACATAATGACACTTAAACTTAATAAAGACATTGATGATTGGATGTACTTTTACCTACGTGGTGTGATATTGGAAAGATAGGTTTAGGGTTTGTTGGATGTTGTGGAGAAAAAGAAAAGAAAAATTCTTTGACCCGAATTTTGTTGAGAAGGAGGATATCATTAGATGGAGTATGCGTTATGCAGAGGAAATTCAAATGCACAACAATGTTCCACCCCGTGTGGTTCTCCACTGATGAATCAAATTACAAGCGTCAATTCATGGAGGGGATCGCGGGGTGATGGATTAAAGTGAACACTAGTGATGCAGTGGATACTATTGATAATCGTGTCGTAGTAGTGATGCAGTGGATACTAGTGATGCATGGAGACTTGGTTATCAGCATATAAAACTCGAATCTGATAATATTGAAGCCATAGATCGACTTCGAAACCATCCTCAGAACATCGAAGTAATGTACTATTCGTGGTGATTAAAGAACTGCTGCAGGGGATTTGGGAGGTTCTGTTTGGCGACCTCATAATGCGGTTGCGGATAGATTGACATCTTTATGTCGAGCCTCACCGTTGCAAAAATGCCATTTTGCAGCTCAACCCGTTCAAGTGAAAGAAGCTATTTAATTCACAGTTCTGTTTTAAGGACAAAAACAAACATATGGTGCAAGTGAAAGACGAATAACAAAAACATGTTATGAGACATTTTTCCCCTGAAAGACGCGATAAATTAACACATTTTTAAAAATATTAAAAGTTACATATGAAATGATAACATTAAAAACATGTTATTTCGATTGTAAGTGTAATTTTAGTGTTTAGCTTTTTAACGATTGTATGAGTAAAAAAACTATTAAATCTTATGTGAATAATTATAATTAAAATAAATGATTATTAGATGAATAAAATAGTAAAGACAAAAGGAGAAGGATATTAGAAACAGCTCACTCGATTATATATAGCTGTACAGTAACAAAAATATATCTGTACTGAGAAATTTATTTAAGAAAAATAATAATCATTTACGAATCACATAAATGCAATGGCAAAACCGTGGTTTTTAATCAATAAATTATACTACTTCAAGTTTCACTGTGGTCAAATGTCAACGATTTAACTCACTCAACGGTTATGATTGACTCTACCAAAATCAGCCAGCTTCCTGGACCTATTCGCTCGGAACCCTGCGGCGGTCGCCAGGTGGGGTTTCATCGTCGACAGTCGAGATTCTCCTGTGAACGACATGTCCGGCTGCAACCCGGCCTTTTGGTTCCATTGCCTGTTAGGACTCGCCCACACGAGCGGGCTCAAGCAAAACGCTAATCCCGACACGTTCCTCGTCCCGGCCTTGAATCTCCTCGCTGGCGTCGGTGTCCTTTTCCGCCAAGGGGATACCTCCGGCGATCCTCCCGATGGCGGTCGATCACACTCGTCTCCCGAGTCCACTTCGATCGCCGGGGACATTCCGCGATATATGGCTCTGCATGATCTCCGATCGCAAGGTTCGAATTGGTCGAATTCTTCCACCCCGGATGTCTTCGATGATTGCTTCTTTTTCCGAAGAACCGCGAATATTGTAGCGAACCAAGACGGAGAAGCCGATGAAGAGGACGGCTCATCGCACTGATTATCAACCCTAGGATCCGAATCGAACTTCTCGGATCTGGATCTGAACAGATTCGAAAAAACCGAGAACCTGTTCTTCTTCTTGAACGATCCGGCCGATCCAAGATAACTGGCGGTTGCGGCACTGTACGTGGGGCCGACCTGAGGGGTGCTGTAGAACCTTTGATGTCGGATCCACGTGCCACTATCATCGTCCGATTTCCCCCGACCGACGTAGGGAGAAACGGACCGAGGGAAAATCGGGGGAGGCGGGTCGGGCTTCCGACAGTCGTCACCGGCGGCGGTAGTTGCTGCGCGGATTAGTTGAGCCCGTTGCTCCTGGGCGGCGATGAGCTCCAGAAGACGCTCCCGGAGACAAGTGGCGCAGACGCCGACCCTGCTACTCAGGTCGGCAAGATGTTTCTTACACCTCATTTACTTAAAAAATACTAAAAAAAAACAGAAAAAGTTTTGGTTCTGAGAATTGTGGGTGAGGCTGTGTGTGTGAATATATATATAAGAATGAAAAAGTGTGAGGTTTAAAACTTGAATGATGAATAAAGATTAAAGAGAACAGAGAAAAGTGTGTTTTATGTTGCTGTAAAACAAGGGAGATCTGATGTTGAAGAAATCAAGGGAGAAAGTTTGTCTTGTTTCTCAAGAGATAATAACACAATACTACTTCATCGAAGGGTCTTGCCAGTCGGTCTAGCTCATGTTTTTAATTTTGTGGTCATGATATTAAGTTTTTACTAAGGGTAATTTATAATGTAGATCTTTCACAAAAATTATTCTCAACCTGACGTTAGAAACAACTTATTACTCTATCTCTTTTTATCCCAATTACATATGAAATAGAATTATCTATTTTTTTTTACTTCATGGCGTTGGAATGTTTCGATTTGTTGAGTGCTTTACCTAATTATCTGGGTTTTACTTGCACCTATGGCTGCAAATAATGTAGGACACATTCTTGTTTAAGATTGATTTGATCAAAATTTAAATTAAATAAATTACTTAATATTTGATTTGGAAAATTTGTGAATAATTCAAAAAATTAATATTGAGTAAATTATGTATTTAGTACATAAATTATCTAAATTTTGGTCTATTTTAATACATAAACTTTTAATTTTTTTTAAAACTATATTTAATATTTAGTTTTATTTCATTTTAGTACCACACTGTTAAAAATTAACGCATTTAGTACATAAATTATCAGTGTTAGTCCGTTTTAATAATTAAAGTTTCATTTTTTTTCAAAATTTAATGTTAAATTTTGAACATGAGTACTAAAATGAAACAAAAACTAAACTTTAGGTATGATTTTAAAAATTAAAAGTTTAAGTACTTAAATTGACTAAAACTGATAGTTTAAATACTAAACGTGTAATTTACCGTAAACTTTTAAGTTTTTAATCAAATTATTAATAATATTAACATTTATATGATTTTTAAATACAATATAAAGTTTTCATGTATTTAATATTTGAGTTGGAGTTTAAGTCGAACATCATATTTTAATTTCAAAAGAAATTTAAACTTTTAAGCTCGTGAGTTTTCGAGTAAAGTTGAGCTTCAATTTTTTATTTTGAGTTTGAGATGAATTTGACAATTTTAGACTCACAAGTTTACGAGTCGAGTCGAACTTAGTTTTAAAGCTCTTGAGTCGAGCCTAACTCAACAATACTTGAACTCGACTCGACTCATTTACACCTCTATTTTGTATTTTTTTATTTTATTTTATTTATTTTGGATAATATATATATATATATATATATATTGATAAAAAAAATTAAAATTAGAACACACAAGCTTATAAAATAATCCTACAACAGGAACCGCCATCTAAATAGTTTTTTTAATCAAAATGATATTGTTGCATATTATATTGATTAATGACCCAGTATAATATAAAAATTATTGCTGATGAATAAATTAATTTATATTAATCAATCAATTATTGTCAAATTAAAAATATTTTTTTAAAAATAAATGGTTAACGGACAAACAAAACTATTTGTTTTTTTTTTGTTTAAATTTAGTAGGAAATAAAATGAAGTGAGAGTCAAAGACGGCCCGATGTTCATATTGAATTTGATCGGTTGATTAATTTAATTTAAATATTATAAAAATATTTTTAAATTCAATATATTTCGTTTCCAATATTATTTTTCAAATTTTAATGATTTATTATGTTAAAGTAATTAATAAATATAATCTTAATTGATGTTATAGTATTATATATTCAATTAACATTTTTGTTGTTTTTTTTTATTATACCATTTTAATTAAAATTTTGATTTAATTTGAAAATCATGTTTTGTAACTATATCTTTTTGTTTATTTAAGTGTCTATTTTTTAATTAAATTAGGTATCTAATGTTTATTTCGTTATCAATTAAGGCACCTAAATTTCACTTCGTTATTAATTTAAGGTCATCCCGTTAACAACAATTTTAAAAAATATTAACCAATAATTGTTTAACATGTGACATTAATTTATGATTAATATTAATTTAAAAATTTTAAATTTTCTAAAAATCATAAAAAATTTAATTTCTCAAAACTCCCAAATCCTCTCGAAAATCACAAACACAAGGCTATGTGCCCGTGGTCGGAGGTTTGAGCAGTAATGTAGCTTCGTCGATAACAACAGACATAAAATGTTGAGTGAAAAAGAAAATAATTTTGAGAGATAGAATTTAGGGACAATGTGCGATTTTAGGTGGTGATGTACATCACTGAGGAGGCGATCGACCTATATGATAGTCAGCTAAAAAAAGAAGAATAATATGTGTTGACTGATTCTATTGTAACATATGAGATTTAGAGATTCAAGATTAAAGATTTTAAGATACTTATGGGGATTTTTTTTTATTTTTAAAAGAATAAAACTTAAAAAAATATATTGTGTGTCATGTACTAATCGGATAATAATTTTTCAATAAATATTAACGACTAGATATTCTAAATAAAATTTTAAAAATATTAAACACTTTAAATTTAAAACAAATAAAAAAATGATTTAAACACTTATTTTAAATTAAGATTAAAAAAATTTAATAAAGGAGTGAGTTGGTAAAACGCTCTGATCTTCCGTCATTTGCTCAACCGACAAATTTAATCCCAACTTCATTTGTCTGCCAAAATTTCCTACATCTATATAATAATCTACTCTAATTTTGTCAAATATGTATAACCTTATCGAATATTTACCTCTCGTACGATTTTGACTTTGCTTATTAAATTATTATAAAAATTATTTTAAGAGGAATATAATATATAAACTATTAATTTTACTAAATTTACAACAACAATAATAAATAATATATTTTCATAAAAAAACTAAAATAACTAAAAATATATAATTAAAGTTTTGAATTAACCACTGATATACAATCTATTAATCAATTAATCCAAATCGAATACTACAGAGACAATGATAACTCTCCTAGGGTTTCAATAATATATCACATAATTGAATCAACAAATGTTATATATAATGGTAAGGCGCATTCAAAAGAGAATTATTATTATTTTTATTAATCAAGAGATAATTAAAATGGAGAATAAAAGAGGTCAAGTTGCTTAGATTTAAAGTTAAAATAAATTTAATATTCTTTTACCCAAAAATTTAAAAATAATATTTAACTCGATAATGATTCAAACTATCTGAGACTAAAATTAAATTAGACCAACAAAATTTTAGTGATTCTATTCTCTTAATTGTTCATTTCTAGATATATTACACTTTTGATAAATAAAAAAGTTATATTTAAATCTTAAAATTAATATTATTAAGGACAATTATAAATTTTGAACATAAAATGAATAGTTGCATACAATACAGTAACTAGATAAAGAAAAATGATGATACATATCAGAACGATTTTAATTTTAAAAATTCCTTTTATTTAAGGGTTCAAATAGAAGTAAGATTAAGTAAGAAGCGGGTACAAACCAAGTGACCTAGATGATAAAAAAATTGTTATTATTCTTTGAAGTCTTGGGTCCGATCACCATAAATATTAGAAATGTGAATATTCATTATTAAATAATTTAGAATTAACATTAAAAAGATATTATCTTATATTTATCACAAATTAATAATAAAGAAAATTAAGCAAGAAGCGGGCTTAAGAGTCAAAACCTTCGGTGACACACATAATTGGTGCCACCACTAAGAGCGACATATTTCATGATTTTATTTTTATAAAAAATTGGCAACACAGATCTTGCACTCTGAATTTGGTAAAGACACGACGATGAATTAAATCATCATCATTTACTTTGGATTAGCGCCTTGATTAATTATTTATTTATTAACCTCTTAACCTCTTCTTTGTTCATTGTGTTTTAAAATGCTAGAAAAAGAGGTCATTGTGATCTTCACGAATACTCTGAGGGCACATACCTGGTGCATTCGCTTGGAAACGCAAGCAAGAATTTCGTTGATCTTATTCTTTGGGGCGAGCTGATTGAAAATGTCATAAATAGTGACAAAATTGATGGAGGCGAATGTACTAACTCCAACAAACTCGTATACAAGAAGAAAGACAATGAGGCTAACAATGCAAGTATAACACCCTCGACTTGGCACGGAAAATATACTCGAATCAAAGGTATCACATTGAGATACTGAGGTGAATCGAGACTTTTCGACTTTGAAACACAAAATTTACTCAAAATTTTTAAACAATTTAAAAAATTGGAGCTCCTCTATTTCAAAATATCATATAAAATAAATAAGTAATAAACATATTTATAATACGACCAGAATAATAAAAGACAATCTTGACCTCTACATACCCATACAAGCTCTCATCGTTATACTCTGGTACTCCCGCAAAGACTCCTCTGATATTGTTGTTGCCCCCATCGTGATCCCCACATTCTAAACCTAAAAAGGTAATAATTAAAAGGGAGAGCTATTATGTCCCATGAGCATACATCAAACCTACTATATTTGACAAGTCTCATAAAGTCAACATGATGGCCATTTATGAACTTAAATCACTAACCAAGGTTTCTCATAATCTTATCATTTTTAGTCAGGTTCATTGTACTTACCTAAAGTGTAGAGGTTATCAAATAATTTCTCATTAAAAATATCTTACCCGTTCTATCATATTTGTGATCTTTGCAACTCTAAGTTCCTTATGTAGTGGGCACAATAACTATTCAATCTAAGTTGTTCCTCGAAATCAATAAAGTGGTTCTCTCATGATAGTCTTATTTACAACATCAAAAATTGTCACCTCCAATTCCAAAACTTCAAACATAACACTAATTACATAAAACATGCTTCCAACTCACTAATCTAAATAATGATTCAAAGAACTTATATAACCATAAATTTAGAATGTAAGTGAAATATGCTACAGAAACATGATTCAAAATTTCTAATCGTACTTAAGAGTACCATATTCTTG